ACGGAGGCGGCCCCGGGGCCCACCAGCAGTCTCTCACACACCATCACCAGCACGGGGGCCATCAGGATCAGTCTGACGAGGACACGCCGACCTCTGACGAGTTGGAGCAGTTTGCCAAGCAGTTCAAACAGCGGCGAATCAAGCTTGGCTTCACCCAGGCGGACGTGGGACTGGCTCTCGGGACACTGTACGGGAACGTTTTTTCTCAGACGACCATTTGCAGGTTCGAGGCGCTTCAGCTCAGCTTCAAAAACATGTGCAAACTAAAACCGTTGTTGAACAAGTGGCTGGAGGAGGCGGACTCCACCTCGGGGAGCCCCACCAGCTTGGATAAAATCGCGGCACAGGGACGGAAAAGGAAAAAGAGAACCTCCATTGAGGTGGGCGTCAAAGGGGCTCTGGAGAGCCATTTTCTCAAATGTCCAAAACCGGGAGCAGCGGAGATCAACTCCCTAGCGGACAGCCTGCAGCTGGAGAAGGAGGTGGTGAGGGTTTGGTTTTGTAACCGGCGGCAAAAGGAGAAGAGGATGACGCCCGCTGGGGGACAGATACCTGGAGGAGAGGACATGTACGGGGACACCCCTCCTCGCCACGGAGGACAAACTCCCGTGCAGTGACCTCAGTTCTCAATCCCGAGTAAAAACACGGACCCCTTAAAGGAGGTATAACGCCTCCTTATTTCTTTTATTCTCTGTGCTGGACCGCTCGGAACTGGACCTCAGCCAGTTTAGATGTTGGACCCACGGACAGACACAGTGGGGACACGCAGTGGCACGCGAGCGCTAAAAATACTCATAGCAGAGCCGTATGGAGAGGTTTCATGCCGCAGAACTGCCAAACGTATCGGGGTGGTGTGTGCTAACCAGAAAAAAAAGAATAAGAAAAAAACAGCGACATTTTCTTTATGCCAGACCCAGGCGCCAGTGTGCCATCATCAAATATGTTATTTAAAAAAATAGAAGAAGAAGAGATGAAAAAAAGGCAGAGTGTGACACGGACGAGACGTGTCCGCGGGGAGAAAAAACATAAAAACTCGCTTCGGGCATGATGATTTAGTCGCAGTGAGTGTGGGTAAATAAACGCCATCTTTCCATCATAACAAAAGCAACAGGGGTTCTTCGCGGCTTGTGGCAAGAGAGGGCTGAAATGGCAGACACCTGCTGTACAATGTTTAAAATTTTAAGCCAATACCAGCCAGATAATTTATTATTATTATTATTATTATTATTATTATTATTATTATTATTATTATTGTAAAATTGTAGGTATTCGTCTAAATTTATTGTGACGACCTGAACTTATTCACAATAAAAATACAGTATTGCTTTAATATAATAAAATGTGAAAGTATTTACATTTTTACATTCCTAATTTATCAGCAAATAATAATAATAAAATAAATAAATAATAATAATAATACAATTGAGACTGAGTATTGGTGGACTTCAAGGCTTTTCCTTTTGTGCAGAAATTTCTGTGCGCCTGTTTACAGTGTGTTTTTGCTGTTTGTTATTTCTGTACTTTTCCAAAATGCTGTGACGAGAAAGACCGAGACTGTCCGGCTGGAACACTCTGAACAATCCAGCCCATTTTGCCTTCTTTTCCTGAGAAGAAGAAAAAAACTGAATATATCCTGGTACCAGCTCTGGCCACAGTGGCTATACTTCTACTACTACTACTGTATGACTCATTCATTCACGGAGAAGGCGATCTGTGGGATGTATCTTCATTCGTTTTTGTATTGCTTCGTTCGTTCGTTCGTTTGGTTGTTTGTATGTTCAGTTTCTTTTCTGTCAGTCTGTGCCAAAGCACAAACACAGACACGTGTTCTTGTGCCACTGAAATCCTGTGATTGATAACCTGATCTGATAGTAGGAGTGTATGTGGGAGGAAAAACCCACTAAAAGGTTCTTTTACCAAATTATGAAGAATAAATATACATATATATATAAAACAGAAAAAAAGAAAGAAAGAAAGTGGAAACTCAAATAAAGCTGAGGAATACTGATGACTGGAGAGGAACATTTTTAATAGACCAAAGCTTGTTAATGTGAGACAGTGTACAAAAAAAATAACAAACCTGAATGTATAAGTCTTACCTAACAACATCAAAGTAGGTCTATAACCTCCCTTTTCATCGCCAATCATAAAAAATAACCATAGCAATATTTTTATGTAACGTTTTGCAATACGCACATGGCATTTTTTATTTATGGGTAGGTATTACATAACAATTCGCCCTCGATTAAAATAAGGCCCCATATTTGTGAAATTTAAAAAAAAATACTGTAATCACACCCTGTTTAATCTTCAGCTGAATTTGAGTTTCTGATGGGTGGAGGGGAAAAAAGAGGCAAACCAAAACAAAATAGCAGTGACCTGAAATCTGTGATCAAACGAAGAGGAAAAAGAAATCAACGATTGCACAATTTCTAAATGCTTTTTGTCATTAAAGCGTATTTGTTTTCTAAAACTCTGCAGTCCTGCACGTTCATTGCGCTTCAGGGTGGAAGAAAGAAGGGGGAAAAGTCGCATTTAACTGTATTTTTTATTGTGTGCGGACTCGCATTAAAATTGGGGATTTTATCAGTTCGTCTCGGTTGTTTAAAATGTTTCACCTGCTTCGCTGAAGTGTTTGCTACCGCTGATGTGCTCTGATACTGCTGTGTGATGGATGTTACAGAAGATGCTCAGCAAGTGACTTCAAATTATTATTATTAGGATAAATGCGAAATGTGATCGACAAGCACGGCGAGATAAATTTCTGACCATCGAAGCAAAATTTAAAAAAATGTTATTAGGCAATGAATAAATAAATAAAAAGCAGGCCTGTCTGTAAAGGATGTGAAATGAAGGTATATAGGCCTCACTGCAGGTGAGGTACAGAAGCTGATGTAACAATAGTGTTATTATGTATAACTGGGCCTGCTGCCATCAGCATGCACACTAAAAATAACCATAAACCTGTCCTATTTATCATTTTCATGTACGATGAAGTAATATACAAATAGTTTAAATGGGAAACGTGTGCAAATAAATTAACACTGAAATGTTGTGCAAAAAAAGGAAAAAGAACATATCGACAGGGTTTTTCAAATAGAGATTAAAAGGTTGTGGCTTCAGTCTAAATTACAAAAAAAATGAAGCTTAAACTGTTGTTTCAGAACCTGTGCGAGCCTTCACCAGCTGGAAATGCATTTAACAGTACATCTCTGCACTGGGTTTGTTCACCTCGTGTCTGTACTGTATGTTTTATTACACCTTGGCCTGATCGGTGGTCAAATCGGAAAGTGTCCTGACGCCACCTGGTGGTTTAAAGGAAGCCTCAAGAGCCTTAAGTTGAATGTAAGGTGGTCGATTTTTGAACGGTGAATGCCGATGTTCAAAATTATTATTTTTTACAGGCCAGTGTGTCCATTATTCCATAATCATCGATTTTCATGATTAATCATTAGGCAATTAGTTATGTGTTGAGGTTACAGAACAAGAGAAGACACACAAGCTTAAAAATGGCATTAAATTTTAAAAAAGTAGGTAAAAAGTGAAGAACACATACAGATTTTGAATTTTACTCATTTTTGAGTGAAATTATTATTATTATTATTATTGTTATTATAATTCCTTCTTTACTATAAAGATTCACAATTTTCCCCTAATTTTTAGATCCAGTTATTATGTTATTTTACTAGATTCCTGCATTTCTCCACCACAATCTTGATCAAACATACTCTAAAAAAAAAAGGTTTATTGTAGTATCAATTAAAGGGGAGATGGAGGCAAAGTTTATTTACCTGTGTTAAATTTCTAGGTGAATGGTGGTTAAAAACATTCTGACACTTTGCATTTTGAGAATGTGGAACTGGGATATCTTTATTTAAACAAACTGACAATGCACATTTTTGTAATTTCGAATATTCAATAATAGGTCAAGTTAAAGTAAATGAAAAAATATGTAGATATATAATTTGCTATCAACCTTAAAATAACAAGGAATCTGTCTAACTGTGCACCTGTATTTTATTTTACTATCATTTGATATACACAAGCTTTTATTTTGACACCACTTGAAACTGGTGTGTGCAGTTGAGGGGCAACAAAAGAGAGTGCCTGAAAGAGAAAGAAAGAGATAAGCGTGAATATTTGTGTGTGTGTGTGTGTGTGTGTGTGTGTGTGTGTGTGTGTGTGTGTGTGTGTGTAAACCTGGTTTGAACCCAGCTCTCTGGAGGACCCCGTTGCCTGGATTCCGTCCTATCAGCAAGCGACCATCTGCCCTCCTCCCGGCCCTCACGCTCCTACAGGCATCCTCTGCATTTTTCATATTTTTACACACACACACACACACACACACACACACACACACACACACACACACACACACACACACACACACATTCAGACACGCTTAGTTCTCACTACACACATTGTCTCACCTCACATATCATGCATTCAGCCACGTGTTAGACACACACACACAGCTGCTCCCTCTGACACTGTATGCCATCTTTGACTCACCAGAGATGATTTATACTCTGGTGTCATTGTCAGTCCTGAATTGTCTCCCCTATCTTGTGTGGAAGCGATCTCCCAGGGATTTTGCACAATGGTCTCAGAAACGCAACCAGCCAAAGCTATCAAATATCATTCATCTGTTCTCGAGCTGTTTGTCTCTTCCCCTTTTCAAGCCCGCTTCGCACCCAAACCCACGCTCCGTCTCTACATTGGTGCTCCCGCAACTTGCCTTTTCTCTTTCTATACCCTGCTTTTTCCTCTCTGTTTCCCTTAGAGCCCAAAGAAAAGGGCAGAGAGCTAATCCTTCAGCATTGTTGGGTGGGCTTAGTATTGTCGTATGGCAGCAAGCACAGAGGGAGAGGGATTATGAGATAGATATGCCAGAGTATACCCAGTTCAACATGTTGATACTGAACAGTTCATGCAGAAATATTCAAATGTTTCATGCATGCAGCAATCCACACAATGACGGAAACAAAACCAGAGGAAAATATGGCAGTTATATTTAATGAAATATTAGAAGTAATCCATTGTCATACAGCATTTTATCTCTGTTTATGATACATTCATAAGAATCTCTTTTTTTTTTAACCCTTGCAGAGCATGTTCTTTCAGGTCATATTCATTTATCTCACTCTCTCTGTCTTTCTATATATATATCTATATATATATATATACATTTATAAATTATATATTTAGTTTGGCTTTTTTCTGGCTCACTTATTTACAGTCCAACAAGATACCACAAGTGTTTTTCCGCACGCACAACATCAAGACAACAGCGCAATGTGGCCTCTACAAGTCTACAAGCAGGAATCGGGGTAGAATGGGAACTGTGACGCGCAGGGCGGGGCTTAAACCCTGACTTCTCACCTCGAAATGCAGAGGAACACTGAGACAGACAGAGTTGGCAACAGACTCTTATCAGGAGGACTTTTGCAATTTGTACTGCCAGAGGTGAAGTCGCACGGGAGAGAGGAGACACTGATGATCAGCCGATCAGCAGGATGACTCACCTCACCCTGCTTACAGAAGATCGAGTGTCAGTTTGGTATCTCGGCTTCAAGTGAACATAAATCACTGCAGGGTGAAGCTGAGTTATTGTGTCTTGTAAAGGCAGAGTCTGCAGCAAATGTCAGACATGCAGCAAACCGCATGTATGAGCTGGAAAACTTTCCAGGTTGTGGATATACATGCAACCACTGCTGTGGATGGACATGTGTAGCTTTTATAAGAGTTATATGTCAGCAGAAGCCTGAAGAAAATCTAGCAGCGCACTAATACACCAATGCATATCATTAGTCTGACAGTGATTTTCAGACATAGAAACATAACACGTGTAAACATAACTAAAGTGCAAAATGTAGAAAAAAAGTAGAATTGCTTATCAAATTCAAGCACATCAGCCATCTTAACAAATTAATAGAAATAGCATAAACTAAATATAATATATAAATAAATGTAACATACAAAAACAGAAGTCATACACTGGCACTGGTATGAAGTAAACAGTTTAGCTTCAGCGTCCATAAGGCTGAATCTGACTACTAACATTAAAAGGCAATAGCATGCAGGCCAGGGGTTTTAAGACACCAAACCAAACTTTTCAGTTCATTAGCTTCTTAGTTTCAGTCTGTTACTCCACTGAAATTCAGCTGCTGAACACACACACTTACACATACACACACCCATAAAGGCTTCAGTGTCTGCTGTGTCCCCACAAAAGACTTAGATCAGACTCAGAGTTTGGACTAGCAACTTATGGCATTGTTTTATCGAGCAGAATTCAACAGCGAGGCATCATCACATTCAAACTCATGGTTTTAAAATGACATCAGAATCGTAATAGTGCCTTAAGGATCAAAAAATAAATAAAAAGCCCTCTCATCCTTTGGACTCTTTCCTCATCAGTTCCCTTCGTTATGTAGGATTGTTGCTTCTTCTTTCGAATTAGAGGTAAGTTGATGCTACATCTGTTTTTAATTCTAGTCTTACATACATGCAGCATCCCCACAAACGAAGCCACGCTTGCACATTTTGGAGACAATTCTGAGCATTTGAAAAACTCAAACATACAAAAACAACTTATTATAGCATAAAAGACATTTTTAATGTTATCCTATAAATGTGGTTATTAGAACTGAGAGCAGCAGGAGTTGTGAGCATATTTGAAAAAATTGCTTCCAGTGCTCTCTGGTGGACAAATGACTAACTGGAGACGCAGTTTTTAAAATTACGCCAAATATATTTTAGTGTAACTTACTGGCTGACATCATGTATACACCCATTAAAGGCCTCACATCAGGGTTTAAATTACAGTTTTTCCAACTGTAATTACTGATCACATCCACAATTTGTTTACTGTGAGATCTGTAATTTCCCCTAAAGTTCCCTAACAGAACTTTTCGTTTCAGCAACTCTGTAACTCCGTTATGGACAGAGTGTAGGACAGGTCGAATAAAATGTCTGGGACTGACTGTGATTGCTGAGTTCACCTAACTAGCTCAGGTACAGTCGTGTGAAAAATAAAGAACACCCACACTAAGTTTTACAGTTTTGCACATCTGGTCCTTACCAGATCCTTAAATGAGGTAACTACAACCTGATGTGAAAAATAACACATGCATTATTACACCATGTCATTATTTACTTAACTAAAACTAAGCCAAAAATACAGATGCAGTGTGTGTACACCCTCACTGCTTCCACAGAAGTAGCAACCGGATGCTGTTAATCAAATGCACTTCATTAACTGATCATCAGGAAGTGTGAGCAATTCTCTGAAAGGAAAAGGTTTTGCCGCTTGTTTGCGTTAACACACTGCCAAGGAGCAAAGACTTCTGCAAAGTTCATAGAGAAGAGTTATAATGCGATTTCCAAACAATTTGAAGTCTGTCATTCAACAGTGAGAAAGATTAATCTCAAGGGGAAAACATTTTTCAGTCGTCCCAGGAGTGGACATCCTGGCAAATTCACCCCAAAGTCTGGCTGTGCCGTGTTTACAGAAACTGAAAAAAACAAAGAGCTAAATCTGAGACTCTACAGGCCTCAGTTAGCATGTTAAATATTACAGTTCACATGTAGATCACAGATCACAAGACATCTGGAACAATGCCGTTTGGACAGATGAGACTAAAGTGGAGGTGTTTGGCCATAATGCACAGCACCATGTTTGGAGAAAACCAAACAAAGCAAATTAACACAAATATGTCACACCAACTGTCCAGTACAGGAGTGGAGGTGTGATGATGTTGGTCTGTGTTGCAGCCACATGAAAAGATTTTCACCACAACAATGTGAGAGACTGATTCCGTCATGGAGAAAACAATTACGTCCGATTACTGATGCTTAAAGATGGCTACTGGACCATGGGGGTATACTTGGTTATTCACATCCTGCTTCTGCATTTCAGCTTATTTTTTTTAATAACAACACAGTGTAATACGTCATGCGTTGGTATTCACCTGAGGCTATATATACATTATTTTAGAATCTGGTAAGACCATGTGACTTTTTAATATGTCCTGACGTGTTTTCTGACCTTAGAGTTGAAAGAGGGTGTGCTTTCTTTATACCAGGACTGTAAGTACAGACAACAAACTTCTAGAGCTAAATATTTTTAAAATGATGTGAGGCTAATGTGCACAGGAACATAAATAGTATTTCGCCCTTTCTTCCATGCATACAAAACGTTGTCGGTACGTGCGCTTGATGAACGACAAGCGCACATAGAGCCTGCTCCTTACCATCACACACCACAATTATCACAGCCTGGCATAAATTGAACCTGTGTCTGTGTCTCTTATTGCTTTACGTAACATTTTCTGACAGAAATGCTGAAAGAAAACAAGTGCTTTTTTTCCATAATCCATTGGATACATGCTTGCACGGCTGATTTGGCCAGAGGCACCGACAAACAAGCTACATCGTTCCATCACACTAGGCTTACTAAGAAATGTAGCTAAAGATTATCAATGTGGGGTGCTAAGAGAGACTTATGGGCCTGAATCAGCCATGCACTTTGATTCAGACTGTCTTCTATCTATCGCTCTATATCTACACGATTGTTTGGCGTGCGCTCAATGCTTGAATGCATGTAAAATCTCCTAAAAACAGCAGCGTACATTAAGATTTGGGGGATTTTTTGGAGGCAAAATAATTGCCTCAGTTAGACAAGATGTTAATGGAAACTGGGAGTTTACTACCTATTATGTTTTATGATTTTTCTTTTCTCAACTGTTTAAATACTGTAATATCCCTGTAATCGGATACATACAGTAAAAGAATTCACAGGGTTCCTCTAGCTGATCTTAGACCAGCAGGGTAGGAATTCATAAGAGAAACACCTAGAATATTTACACCATATGACAGACGACATAATACTATAGTTCCAGCCTATCTATATTATTTATACTCATATATAATACAGTTTTTATCTATTAAATCTGAGAATGAAGTCAGATTCGTTTATATATTTACACTGAAATGTTTTCTTTCTGATGGATTCTGTACAGATCCTTTCATGTATTAAAGGTTCATTTGGTACACGCACACACACACATGCACTCACAAATACTCACACACACAGACGCAAAACGCTGCTGGGTGGTGCGAGCTGCTACGAGGGACAACAGTGGGCACGCAACAGACAACAGGTAGAAGGTTGTGGTTGCAGTTGATGTGGAGGAGTTTCTCGGCAACTGCGTCATTTACTCCTGATTTGAATGCGTCTAGTTCTCACTTTTAAACCTACATTTCTTTTTTTTCTCTTCACTTCTTTTCCAGTTTCATCTCTGTTGTACCTTTTTTTCCTTGTTCTGCAATCTTTCCTCCACTACAGTTGGCACTTTACCCTCCTACACCCTCAACGTCCCGGCCGGCGAACACCGAATACACCCCCCTGTTGTTTTCTGTTCTAAGAGGTAGAACATAGGTGGGATGCAGCTCCCTCCTGCGGCGTGCCTATATGTAGTGTGTACTATAAGTGTGTGTGTGTGTTTCGTCAGCACTTCGGCTGGTCTATTTCAGAACACTCTGTGTCCATGTCAGAGTCGTACAGCGAGTGGCCCGTGGGGTCACTCTGAGACGATGGCGGGTCTTGTGGCGTGTGAGTGTGTAAAGTGTTTGAGCGCGTATCGTCCTGGAAAGTGTCCGTGCGGGAGTAGAGGCCGAGGTCGGGGAGCTTCGAGGGCGAGTCGCTGCCCTCTGTGGTGTCATTGTAGCGGAAGTCCTCCAGGTCGACGAACCACTCGGGCCAGAATCGTCGGCGGATGCGCTCGCAGTACATGGCGAGGTTGATCAGCTCACCTGGGTGGAACAAACATCTCAGTAGGTACAGCGCCCATAAGGTATCTCACTGAGACACCAGTGATATAAGTGAGTATAGGATTAGATCTCACAGTCCATAAAACAGCAAATAGCAACGCCAGCTGATAGCTCAGGAAACACTTTACTGGGGATTTCTGTGCAACTGCTCTAGCCTGCCTACAAGCTGCTTTGCAACCCACCTAAACACCAGTTGCTCATTTTAATCCCATCTTGGGCTGTTGTGTATACACATATAGAGCACTGCCTAATGGAAATAACACCTTCTTTTGACTAAAGTGGCCCTAACTGAAATATTATTTTCCAGTAATGATGACTTAGATTTAAAAGAAGAAGAAAACAGATTTTTATGTATAAATAGTAATAAAATGATAATTCATCACTTTTCCATTGGTCCTTTTAGGCACTGATGAGCTTTAAAGGTTAGCAGAAAAGGTTAAAAAAGTTTCTAAGTCAAAGATCAGAGAGTTTCTTATTATTAATTTTATTCTTATTCTCTTAGATAAACAAATAACTTGATTTACAGTTTAGTGAATTTCATTTTCATTTTGATGTTTCTCATCTTGCATCAGTTGATTATGATTTTCGCTAAAGGACATTGTGTTGTTTTCCTCTCATACATAGTGTTCAAATGTATGAATTCTGTGCTGAATGTGTAATTAGAACATGCAAAAGTTCACATTTCTATATTTCTATATTTCATATAAAAATTCAGAAAGAAAAAGATTAGATATGTTTCCCGTGTTCTATTATGAATCAAATATGGATTTGAGAGATTTGCAAATCATTGCATTCTGTTTTGATTTACACTTTATGCATCATCCTGACTTTTTTGGAATTGGAGTTGTGTATACTGTACATACATCACTCAAGTGCAAGTTTGCTTGAAATTAGGTAGACTGCCTTTCTGGTGAATTCACCTTTGATTAGCTGCTCTGGCCGCGATCCCGGTAGCGTCCACATAGCAGGGGCCAGGTGACCAAACACTGCGGCGTCTACTGTTGAAAGCTTAGAGCCCATAATGTACTTCTTATCACCTTAGACAGCAGACAGAAAAATATAAGTCAAACAGTGAAGCTTTCCCCCCTTGAATTCCATTTTCTTCTGTTTTATAATAAATAAACACATACTGGTAACAGATTAACTGACACCTTTAGTGAAAAACATTTAACCTGAGAAGCCACCTGTCATGGCCAAACAACTGCAAATTGTCTACCATGAACTACCCGGTTTGACAGTGATTGCAATGCTAAGTTTCTACCACAGCAGGTCAGTGTTCAGCAATCCCTTCAGTTTTTTTCCATCTACTGCTGCTAACAAAAGTGATGTCTCTGGTTATAGGTCTCAAGGCGCATATTGAAAAGCCACTGATCTGGCCCTGGGGTAAAATATGCAACCAAAATGGTGACACACACTGAGATCGAGCTTCACAATACAAAGTGATTTGTAGATTTACAAAACAAAGCAAAAAAAAAAGGAAGAAAAAAAAGTGTTTTCCCACTGAAGACTCGAATGTGACCACATCTAAATCTGGGTGATTTTCTGGATTCCAAGTTTTGAATCCATTTGTCTTCTGGATAAACATACTTCTAACCTTAATGCATACTTAAATAGATTCAGTTGCCCATAGGCTGACTCATACTATTTTAAATTGGAAAAAAAACCCTCACCTAGCAGGGTGGCCAGGGTGCGCATGTCCTTCTCCATTAAGGCGTACACCTCCTCGGTAGAGAACCGTCCAATCCCGTGACCATACATCTCCCTCTTAACTATCCCACCTGTCAGGTGACTCAGGATCCACTTGAGTAGGTCACTCAGTGGACCGCTCACCGACAGCATCTTCTGGGTCTCCTCCAGGTTGTCCACCCACTGACAGTAAGCTATGGTCCTGTGAGATGCATATATATTTATATATACAGACACACAGATGCACTCATTTAATACAAAAACAATCAGCTTGAATCTCAGCGGTCCCTCACCAGTAGAAGTGCTCATCTACCATTTTGGTGATGGCGCGTGATAAGGCCTTCTCCTGGGGTGTCAGGCTCTTGTTGAGGCTCACGCCCAGCTTCTCCTCCAAGTAGTCGATGATGAATTCTGTCCCACACACTTGCTCCTGGTTGTACTCGATCCATGGCATCTTTCCCTGCGGCGAAAGCTTCCCATCAAAGTAGTTCTAGAAGAGGATTAAGGAAAGGGGGTGGGAAGATGATGAGAAAATTCTCAAAGTGGTTGGTAAATGCTGCAAAAGAAACTGAGTGACCTTTGCAGGAGAGATTATTTTTAATAAATTCATTTTATTATATAACAGACAAAATATTGTTTTTCTTTTGCAGCCACATAAACACAGTCATACCTGGTAGGGCAGGTCAACCATACGGAGGTAGGTCTCCAGCTTAAGGCAGAAAGGCGACAGAGATGGGGCGCCAGTTTTGGGCCTGGAGAACTGGTGGAGTATGATTGCATCTTTAGAGTCCAGCTCTTCCTCCTTTCTGTATGAGGCAAAGAAGGAAAGAGCTGCATGTCACATACACTCCAAGGGTTGTGAAAAAACAACAACTAAACACTAAAATGTAGAGTGTGGGTTGGGTGTGAGTCAACTGCATACATGGACATAGCACTCGTCTTCTATATTTCTACATAGACATTTAGTCCTTTGCAGTTTTCAGCATTTTTTCATTTGGATTGTGTTCTTCATCAGAAGTTTAGCCTTTTCTCTTGATGCTACATTGTAAATATGATGGATTAAGACCAATCTATCAGCCTCAAATACATCCCTGCTTTTCACTTTGATTAGAAGACTGATACCATCCTCATAGCCGCCTGTTAGTAGTCTACTTCATATTATAGCTGAAAACAGGGAAGCAATTAGGCTGTTCCCGCTTTTAGGGAACAAAAAGGAAGTCGGCATGACACAAATCTTTAGATCTTAGATGTACAAACACTTGATATAACATTAGACCATGTTTAAATTTAAGTTAGGATGAGTGTTAACCAAGTATTTTGTATCAACTATATAGAGAGTGTAGTTTTTTCTATTATTTGATGTTATTAGCCCCTCTGATGTCAGTGAGAGTGGGCATCATTGAATAGTCAGTTTTGGCACAGGCACACGGGTTTACAAAGGGCAGCCAATCAGAGGAAATCTGGCTTGGAGGGCGGCCTTAAAGGGAGAAGAGCTATTAGCTTCATACAGTCGAAGTCTGGCCAAAAGCCCATTACAAGATAAAGAACTATACTGCAACTGTAGAAGAGTCCATGAACAAAAAAATATGGAGATAGCCACCACAGTTGCTCATAAAGCACTTATTTTTGTGGTTATTGTTAGAGTAATAAGGTTGGTGTATGTATTTAGCCAGTTTTGGGGAGCATACAAAGATAGACTTAAAGTAGTTTAGCAGATTTTATGGTTAAGGTAAGTCTCAGAAGCACAGCACATTTTTATTTAATTTTAGCCATATTTTTTTCAAATCTTTTACTTTCAGTCTAGTTTTAGTTGGCCAAATATCTAAAGATTATAGCAGACTAGATCTGAAGCTGATTCAGGTGACAAAATATAAAAATGTTGGTGTAAAAATTGTTGTGTTTTTACTGTTGAGAGTTTTTCCAGCGTCCTGTTTTCCTTGACATCAAATGTAAATTATGTCCATATGTCTACTCTTCTCTTCCTACCAAGCATTAGAATTTTGTTGCATTTCCGTGAGAAACGGGGGTCGTGGGCGCTAGCTGTAGTGGGCAGATCGATCCAAATATGGATAGCATCAATACCAACGCTGGAACTGGTATTGGATTGATACTAGCACAAGAGGGCTGATACTCTGTTTCTATCCTCTAAGTAAGGTATGTAGCCCTCTGAATTGTGTTTTTGAAACCTTTTTGTTTTGACTGTCATGGATTTATTTACAGCGTAAAGCACACTTGAAAAAAGTCCTTTAGAGACAGGAACATTTGCACTCCAAAAAGTTTCCAAAAAGCAAACAAACAAAAAACGACAACAACACAGTTTCATATCCATGAAAAGGTGAACGTTGTGTTTTTATTGTGTTAACTAATTATTGTGGAAAGTAAAAATCACAGCGATTCAGTGGTCTAAAATTTGAAAATTGATAGTGATTCGTCTCATTAGTCATGACACACTTACTCTCCCCTACATAAACTGCCTTTATACACTGAAATCAGTATTGGTACTGATATTGGTATCGGCAATAGTGGCCCAGTATTTACTTGGTATTGGATCATACCAAAATTAGCAATTTTGCTGCACTGTTTCCGGGGCCAGATCAAATTTGCGACTCTAACCTTCTGACTGAATCACTTCCATACTCATCGGCTGTTCTGATTGGCTCTCCGCTCTCCAGATTATTCTGATCTGGTTTTTATTATTTGAGGAAACTGTCAGTACATTTCCTCACAGCTAATGTCCTCCTGCTTTAGTTTTTACTAAGTTACTCTCTTGCTTTCGTCAGCAAAATAAAAAATGAAAATGAAAAGGTCGTAAGTATGTGCATCACGTGGGCTGTCTGCATGAAAACTGTAACATTATAATAACGAATCACCGACCGGTTAATGTCAAAACTGCCACAACCACAGCCAGACGAAAAGCAGCACATTCACGCGGAGAGGATGCAGAATTAGGACAAGGAGCTGTCCGCCGTGTAAAGTGCTGAAACGACAAACAAGCAGGCGGCTGAGTGCAGAGGAGCTGTCTATTTTCAGTGCGGTGCTTAAATAGCCGCTGACACCAGAATAGAAGAGGATCGCCTACAGCACGCATGGCTGCTGACAGGACGATGTAGAGAAAGGGAGGCAGGGGGGAAACTGCAACATATCCGCTCATACAGGTACAAAAAAACAACAACAAAAAAACCGCAGAGGAAGCTTCCGTTTCCTAATCTTAAAAGCACATCGTCAGTGCCATTTGCAGTAACACTAAGTACCCTTTAAACTGTAACATAGCACAGACCCTGGCCTGGACTGCGGGTAAATCGAAGAAATAAACTCGCTCAGTCAAAGCTTTCACCCTGAAAATGAATAATCAAGCACACAGCGCTTCTTTCTACTTTAAAGCTACCATATCCCCTCCCGCAACCTTCATGATTCAAGGTGTTTACATCAGAGGTTATAAAAGACCGACACACCACTGCAGCGTTTAGACTGGACCTAAACACCAGCGGGAGTGTTAACCTCCATCACCTCCCTCGTCCTTCTAGCAGAGACTAATGAAAGCGACCTACTGCCTCTAATGTCCTTTCATTTGGCAGCAGAGCTATGTGAAGGCCGTGGTAGCACACGGACATACAATAACACTAATAAACTATTATCATATCACTAATCACAGAAATAAGCTAGCGAAGATGGAAATCTCCCCTAATATGTGTGTGTTTATGAGGAGGAAGCTCAAGGGGTGGAGGTTCCGTTACATCACAACACCCCCACCCCCACTCACGACTCCTTCTCCCCCGTCTCCACTCTCACCCAGCCCAATCAGACGAGATTAAGTAATATCAGACCTCAGTGGAAAATACAGCTTTGGAGTGAAAATATGAGCAGATCAAATCCACACGGATTGTGCTCTGGCCTGGGAGGCCTGCGTACAGGGATCCTGAGGTCTGCCTCTCTCTGGCAGTCCCTGTGTTGTTGTTGTTGTTGGTACCTGATGGCCAGCAGTTCGTGCAGCAGATAAGCAGCGGCAGCGAGCAGAGCCCCTCCGGTCAAATACAGTGTTTTCCGCCACCACGAGTCCGAGCCCAAAGCTGACATGATCCCGCCGCAGTCCTGCAGTGGGTATGCGATGATGTACCCGTAAAACGAGAGCTGATCATCGGACCCCAGCAGACCGGAGGAGAGGCTCTGGTTCGGTCCGAGATCAGCCACACACGACCGAGTCCAGGCGAACCCGACACGCCAGTACATGCTCTCTGTCTCTGGCCACTTTCCGCCTCACCCTGGCAGCCAAGAGCTTCATCAGCGGGGGCTTCATGGGTGCACGCGGATGCAGGTGAGAGGCGACGGCACGAGGACCAGCCGACCGGACACAAGCATCCCGCCCGGAGCCCGTCCCCGTAGCGGGGTTGACTTTCTCTGAAGCCCGCTCGGAGCTCCCAGGTTATGTCCCCCTTTTTATAATTACTGTCAAGAGTAAGTGAAACACAAAAGGGTTTCCGGTTATGTTTTCAATATAAAAGTGGATTTGCGGGTCATCCTTTGCAAAATAATTCGAGTAATGTCAAGAAAAGTGCCGAACAAAAATAGATAAATCCAAAGCTAAATACAAACCATTATTAAACTACTACAAAATAATAAGGCTACTTTACTGGTGGACAGCCAAATGAATGAGTGGCAACAGGACAAAATTCCTTCCCTTTTGACAATACTTTGTATCTAACCTTTTAAAACAGATAAAACTCTTATAAATGAGGCAACAGTGCTAATAAAAATATTAGAAACAGCACAATATTTGTGGCAATAAAAGGTCACAAAAATGAACAGGTGTGCCACAGAGAATGAGAAAATATGAAGATTTGTTTCAAGTTTACTGAAGCGTAGTAGCTTTAAAAGTCGAACTTCAAACAGGCTTTTGTATCTTTTGACCATGATTAATTCTTTGGGGTTACACTTATTTTAAACTTAATTCCTTGTCGGTGCGGTTGCCAACAGATTTGTCACAGACTTTACGTTAAGGTTATGATTAAGTACTCCTGAAGAAGCACTTAAAAATAGTTTTGCTTCCGCATTTTGTCAGTTCATGTGTAATCTTGACTTTAGACCTTTATTTTGAAGGAGACATCGCATAGCTTGCCATACTACCTCCGCTGCCCTTATGCAGCTAAAGCGACGTCACGGGAACTGACTGTACCCCGAAGGCGTCAACTACCAGAGTTTACTGCACCTTCAGTGCTTCATTTTCATAATCATAACGTACAATTTATCCTCATTTTTAATGTCGCCACTTGGAGCCCCAGGCTGTGCACATTCCGAATTTTCTACCAGTACATGTCAGCTGTCACTCTTTGTAATCAACACTAGGGGTCCCACCACAGCCCCTGCTCTGAGCAGACACTGCTGTTGGTAAAAAGGATTTCCTATGACTTTTGTAACATGCTGGAAGATGCCTCAATGTGCATTACACAAAAACGAAGGCCCACTTTGTTAAGTAGACAATACACAATAGACTTTATTACCATAACTGAGCTTCGAAATGAGCCTTAAAATAACATTTTCTTTGTTCTTTAACTAGAACTAGATATATCCATGTAGGATCATAGGATCACACCCTATTTTAAAGTGGACACCAACAATAGAGGAGTTGAATGGCAGGAAAAAGGCCAGAGGGCACCGTGCCACATCTGTTTTTCTTTCTTTTTTTAAAGGAAAAAAAAAGAAAAGGCCTGAAAGAAAAATAATAATAATAAGCAACAATAGCAGCACAATATGCAGTTCACCTGAATGGGACAATGTGCTTTCATGAGGGGTTCTCTCTTTAACCAGCAGCTTTTATTTTGTAAGGCTTTCAAGCACCTTGTTTTAAGTACAGCCACACACACAGCTTCCGCTGTATTACATCACAAAAATATAGAGACATTTACACACACATATTGCCACAACTCAGTGATTAAATTCAGGGAATAGAGTAAATTAAAATAAGGTACAACCAAAACTTTGCAGATAAACATTTAAAAAAATATGTTCCTTGACAAATTAAAAGCAAAGGTTTTTCCAAAAACAAAAAAAGTGTTAGATAATGCACTATACAACTAAAGTAGGGTAAATGGAAAAAATATTTACTATAAAAACAAACAGGGGCACTTTTATCTGAAGCACAAACCAGCTCGTGATTTCCATTAAACTTTTCTTATATAAGCAAAAGCATGAAAGATAAAAGAAAAGTATCATAAGGCTATTTACAAGGAGGTGGGGGTTGGTGGGTTGTCATAATTCAAAACAGTAAATTCTTGTATTCAAAGAGCTCATTTGTGCCCTCATGAGGAGCTTCTCTTGGCATTTCTCCAGCCACAGTTTACCAATCAGCCAGCAGAGACACTTAACAGGGCAGGTGCATCCCATCACAGCTGAACAGGGTGATAACCAATAAGATCCACCCTGTAAGCTCAAAATCAATTAACAGGAAAAAAAAAAAAGTCTACTGCAATCCCTGAGGAATTAAAACCCACCCAGAGTGGCCGCTCACATGTAGTACACACAGACACAGACATGCACGCACAGTGCTCGTGATCAAGTTTTGTTTTTTCAAATCCCACGGAGCTCGACGTGTAAACACTCACTCCTCTGGACTGTTCAAGGATGTCAGGATCATCACAATGACGAGTGTCTACTGAACCATTACATCTGTTCCCCCTACATTCCCTTCCACCCCCAAAATGTTCCTTGGCTTTTAAGTTCGTTTCAAGTTGGAGCCTAATCGAGACAACGTCATGGCTTGTTGTATTCGATTTGCTGTTCACTGCAGGCATTTCCGTGTTTCTCGCTCAGTCCACAAACCCATAATGATCAGACAAGGAGGAAAAGGTAAAGACACTCAGTTTGTTGGGGAGTGGGGGTTGATTGAGGATCAAATTTCTGATTATTGTGACTGTTTCCAAGTGACACTGTAATGGTTGCACTGTGACATTACAAGAAGATCCTCCACGTCGACATTATGGATTCCCACGGAAATACAGACGGCATGCTAAGACTGACTGTAGGAGTTGCTCTGGTTCCCATTGGAGCTCTGATCACTCTCACTGCAGACAGAGAGAAAAATGAAGTGCATACAGGTCACTGAGATAGACTGTGAGAAGTCCAAGTGTACAAGAACATACTGTACTAATGAAAGCAGACCCACAGCAATTAAAAACAATTAACTTGTGAAACCATTTCCAGAGAAAAGAAGCTCAAACCTCATCTTCACATGTACAGTAATTTTCTACCTACACTTTGCACAACCTTTACATATTTCTTAATTTCTATTCTAATATCTGTCGGTAGTTAGCATACGTACGTACATACGTACATACATACATACATTTTTTTCCTGTTATGAGGATTAATAATAATATTTAAAGATACTGTAAACACCATATATTCCATTTCTGTACCACAGTTTGATTTATTTATTTTTGTACCATGACACCCAAGACAAATCCTCGTTTGTGTACAAACGTGGCAATTTAAAAAAAATAAATAAAAAAAATAATACAGATTCTGATGAGACAACCGTCTACAATCATTTTCACCTGAGACTATTTTTTAATCATCTCCATCTTTTCAGCCACCTCTAACATGGAAATCCCCATGTCAGTGTTACGTCAGTATGACACTAACTACAGTGGCTTGCAAAAGTATTCGGTACAAAGTGGCGTACACGTGAGAAGTGGAACGAAAATCATACATGATTCCAAACATTTTTTACAAATAAATAACTGAAAAGTGGGGTGTGCGTAATTATTCAGCCCCCTGAGTCAATACTTTGTAGAACCACCTTCTGCTGCAATTACAGCTGCCAGTCTTTTAGGGTATGTCTCAACCAGCTTTGCACATCCAGAGACTGAAATCCTTGCCCATTGTTTTTTGCAAAACAGCTCCAGCTCAGTCAGATTAGATGGACAGCGTTTGTGAACAGCAGTTTTCAGATCTTGCTACAGATTCTGGATTGGATTTAGATCTGGACTTTGACTGGGCCGTTCTAACACATGGATATGTTTTGTTTTAAACCATTCCATTGTTGTCCTGGCTTTATGTTTAGGGTCGTTGTCCTGCTGGAAGGTAAACCTCCGCCCCAGTCTCAAGTCTTTTGCAGACTCCAAGAGGTTTTCTTCCAAGATTGCCCTGTATTTGGCTCCATCCATCTTCCCATCAAATCTGACCAGCTTTCCTGTCCCTGCTGAAGAGAAGCACCCCCAGAGCATGATGCTGCCACCACCATATTTGACAGTGGGGATGGTGTGTTCAGAGTGATGTGCAGTGTTAGTTTTCCGCTACACATAGCATTTTGGCCAAAAAGTTCCATTTTGGTCTCATCTGACCAGAGCACCTTCTTCCACATGTTTGCTGTGTCCCCCACATGGCTTGTGGCAAACTGCAAACGGGACTTCTCATGGTTTTCTGTTAACAATGGCTTTCTTCTTGCCACTCTTCCATAAAGGCCAACTTTGTGCAGTGCACGACTAATAGCTGTCCTATGGACAGATTCCCCCACCTGAGCTGTAGATCTCTGCAGCTCGTCCAGAGTCACCATGGGCCTCTTGGCTGCATTTCTGATCAGCGCTCTCCTTGTTCGGCCTGTGAGTTTAGGTGGACGGCCTTGTCTTCGTAGGTTTACAGTTGTGCCATACTCCTTCCATTTCTGAATGATCGCTTGATCAGTGCTCCGTGGGATGTTCAAGGCTTGGGAAATCTTTTTGTAGCCTAAGCCTGATTTAAATTTCTCAATAACTTTATCCCTGACCTGTCTGGTGTGTTCTTTGGACTTCATGGTTTTGTTGCTCCCAATATTCTCTTAGACAACCTCTGAGGGCGTCACAGAGCAGCTGTATTTGTACTGACATTAGATTACACACAGGTGCACTCTATTTAGCCATTAGCACTCATCAGGCAGTCTATGGGCAACTGACTGCACTCAGACCAAAGGGGGCTGAATAATTACGCACACCCCACTTTTCAGTTATTTATTTGTAAAACATGTTTGGAATCATGTATGATTTTTGTTCCACTTGTTACGTGTACACCACTTTGTGTTGGTCTTTCACATGGAATTCCAATAAAATTGATTCATGTTTGTGGCTGTAATGTGACAAAATGTGGGAAAGTTCAAGGGGGCCGAATACTTTTGCAAGCCACTGTACAGGCAGCACTGTGTTGTTCACATTATTAAAAAAAAAAAAAAATTGCATAAAAAAGGAAAAACACTGTAAAATGTACACATGAACTGAGATAAAAGTCATTTCAAAATCACTTAAACACTGAAAATATGTAGCGGCAACAAACCAGATGTTAAAACTAAAACTGTGTTGATCAAACCACTTTATCAAAATCTCTGTTTTTGCACCAAATCCTTGCATTTTTGTTTTATTTGCACAAAGGTCTAACCTCCCAACTTCTTTTATAAATTGGTT